GATAGGAGCAACACAATGGATACTCAGGAGTGAGTAAAGAATAGCAGGGACATCCTGACTCTGCGGTACCAACCTCACAGTGCTGTGAGGAGCTGCACAGAGCAGTGAAGCCAGAAACCAGGAATGGGCACGGAGGCAAGGGCCTGAAATTGCCATGTTCCTGTTGCTGCTGTCTACCATTAGGAAAATCCTCCTAGATGTCTACATCTCAGTGTCTTTATCTGAAATATGGGGATGATCCCATCAACAACTCACGGGATGCTTAGAGGCCACACAAGGATGTATGGAACATGAAAGTTCCAGCTCCACCTTAAACAAGAGCTATACCTGGCTATTGCGTTTTCTCTCTCCCTTTGTAATGTAGCCTATGAAAACAAACTAGCTTTTCTCCACCACTGTCATCACCAAAGCCAGTGCTTATCATAGTGAAAATGAAGGGAGGGGAGGGAGAAAGAAGGAGAAAAAAATGGAATGAATGAAGGAGGGGAGGACTGTAATTACAGTAGTCATTGATGTTTTGCCTGTTTGATGGAGTTTTGCAATTACCAAATGAATCAGTTGCAGACATGTATAAAGTTGATTTGAAGTAGGTGAGGAATCAAAGGAACTGAAATTTGTGATGAAGTTTTAATGCTCTTAAATTATTTTCAACATTTCTTTAATAAAATATGTGATGACAAATTTCCCCGTCATGATGTCAAAAATCACACCATATATTAAAAAGGAGCTGGGACCAAGATGCTCAGATTAGCATCTGGTTTGCAGACAGTCTCTGGATCATCTGGCTCCCTAGTCACAGAAGGGACAGACCTGTAAGACTCTGAGACCACAGAGGAGACAGGGCGGGATGGCAGAGTTGTCCTCACCTGAACCCTGGGGTGGATTCAGAGTGTATGGTCTAAATTCTATGACATTATGACATTCCCGTATAGTGCCATCAGGATCTGCACTCTCGTCACACTAACTTGCCTCAAGGTTTCATGCTCCAGAGCTAAGGAGATGAGAAGGATCACTTCCAAAAGGACAGGAGAGCCAGAGCTGAGACAACACCATTTCCCTCTCAACTCATGTGTTCCTTTTAGCCCTATCCTCAGCATCACCTCTATTCACTTGTGTCCTTGAGACATTCCCCTTTCCATCAACTCAAGTTAAACTCTTTTTTTTCCCGATTCCTCAATCCCGCTGTGTCCTCTGAACCCATGCACAGATCAAGCAATTGGCATGGAATATTGTTTTTCTGCCCCTGCTTTCACCTAACTCCGCAGGACTTGCAGGTCGCTGTATCAAAGTCATCACTACTCACCCATTTTCTAAGGGGCTGAACCAGTAGACAGCACTCTCTCTCTGTCCTTTTCTACCACGGCTCACTGTCAGCAGCCTGACACTATCTACAAAGGGTATCTGAACTCTGTCCACGTGTTCTCAAGCTCAGCAGAGCACTTTTGCAGAGTTCATCTAGGGCTCTTTATCCTGCATGATGCTCTGCACTGCTGCACCTGCACTTCCGGGGTGTCCTCTCCTTATAGTGACTGCATGTTTTTAAACTGCAAAACAAACCTCACCACTTTGCCTTTCCAAAGATTTGGTGTGATACCTCTTAATCATAAAACAAAGTCATCACCCATACAGCAACATAGTTTTAAAAAGCATCCATGGTTTCTCACTCAACAATTCTTAACATCTTATATATGGCACATGGTTCCCGTTCTCTGAGTGTGCATGGCAGGAGTGTTCACTGTCAGTCTGCCATGCAGCAGCCAATTTCAGTCTCCTTACTGAATGTCCCAGAGAGCTATTTGTTGCACAACACTGGACAAATTCTTACACACATAAGAGAATTCCTGATTTGTCTTCTTTGATCCAACAGGCTACATCTGCCTTGTTCCTAAGAGCAAGAGAGAAGAAACAGCCTAAGGGGCAGCTGTGGTCAGAGAGTGAGAGCTGGAGAATGCCCTGCTTGTACAGGCCTTCTTCCTGGGGATGCTGCAATACCTATCCAAGTCATAATGAACACCATGGAGCATCCTGGAAGTTTCTCTTGGAACAAGCAGGCATTCCCAATTTCTCTGTCCTATTCTTGTTCCTGACCTTATTGCCCAATTCCTAGGCTGTCTGAAGCTCCCATACTTAATTGGGTGACTGTGTGTGCTCTGTATGTCCTCATCTGGGTGAGAAATACCGGTTCTGACTCCAAGTCTGGGAAAAGCTAAATGTTTGATGCCTCTATGTATTAGTGATATGTGTGCCTACTGTTATGAGGTCCATCCTCCAGGGCTCCTGCAACCTTGGGCATTGAGTATCATACTACACCACCATATTACTCATGTGAAGGGCATAGCCCTCTGTCAGCCTCACATAGAGACTCAGGATGAGCCAGCCCTCCTTTGCCTATGACTCTGAGCCTATGTCATACATTAAGGCCTGAATAAGTGAGAACAAGTCCTAATCCTAAGTGTAACCGCAATGCTTCTATTTACTTTAAACATTTTATGCAAGATACTCCAGGCTATCTGACATAGAAGATGAACACAATGGAGACATGAACAGGTGTCTTTGAGGCACTCTGTCAAGTATTGAGAGGGCCCTGTAGGAAAGAGACTGGGGCAGGATAACACAGGCAATAGATTCTCTGGTTTGAATGTCAGTGGTGGATGTCAGAAAGAAAGGTGATTGTGATATGACACCACCTTCACGTTGAGCCTGGCTGGACAGGAGTTACATGAGAGGCTTCCAAGGAGCTGAAGAAAAGAGTCCACTCACTAAGAGCACTGTGCCAACATGTCCCCACTCCAGACAGCGCCATTTGCAAAAAGTTTTCTAAACCCTATGCCCTCTTACCACATACATCTGATTATGGTAACAAGGTATAGGAGATTTCACCAAGCTTACACAGGGTTCTCTTCTCAAAACCACAGCCTCACTTCTACTTTTCTCTTGGAAAGTCTCCTGTACCAAGATTTTCTTTCTCAATTGAGCATGCAGTTTTCTATTGACTTATCTTTTGGTTCCCCTCATTCCTTTTTGAGGCATTGCATATACACAAGTTAAAAAAAAATGCACCAGTGAAAAAGAACCGATAATGTTTACAAAGATTACCTATAGAGACAGAAATGTACATGAGCAGTCTTCCTTCAATTATTAATCAGCCTCACAGATGGTTGACAGGGGCACAGAAGTAATTAAACACAGCTAACACGTGAGAGGATTGATTTATTCCTTGCTTATAGAATTTCACTCTCAATGCACCAGAGTGTACACTTCTGTGAAACATGTCAGCGCCACAATTACATCTGATAAACAACACAGATCCTGCAGTCCAATTTAACCACAAGGTTTGTTTCTAAATGCTTTAAAAGTCTCAAAAAGAATGATCATTTGATTCCGAGAACTATATAGCTCTTTCAATTTCCTGCTTGCCAAGGTTGGAGCTAAGCTCATAATTTCTGATCAAATGAAGTCATTGGTGCCACCAAGCAGGTGTGTGTGTGTGTGTGTGTGTGTGTGTGTGTGTGCGTAGTGTATAGTAAGATATGTGCTTCCATATTTTCTATCCTCACCTATAAGTAGTGTCTTCCTGCCTCTGGGCAGAGGCCACAGAAAAGCTACATTCCTAGGCTTACTGGATTTCAATCCTAATTAGATATCCTGCCTGCTGCAAGAAGGGTTTTCCACCTTGCTCAGAAAGGAGGGAAAGTGTCTCCCTGCATTGACTCCTAAATGTCCTAGGTGAAGGCAAATTGTCATGTAGATTCCAGTTTCAGAATGAACCATGTGGACACTTTTCTCTTCAAAAATATATTCAAAGCTATCATGGGGGTCCACAATCTCTCTGAAATTTCACCTCTTATTTGAAATATCTCTGCAGTGCAATTTCTGTGGCCTCTGTTAGTGGCCTGGATGAGTCTACAACACAGATTTCCAGATATCTCCTGCCATTAAGGCACTCCCCCCCCTACAGTATCAGTGCAGCAGACCTAGGCTAATTATAGCAAATCAAGTTGGGTTCATTGTCTAGTGCAATCACTAGGTGAATAAGAAAGTTTTGAGAGACAGTCCAAGCTTACTTTCCTCTCCATATACTGTGACCTTTGTTTCCAATAAGAACAGAGGCAGGACCACAGGAGTTCATGGTGGCTGGCCACCCCTCGCTTTGGTCTCAGTTCGACTGACCCCACCTCCAGGTCCTAACTTACCTCCTTTTAAAGGTGAGGCCCAAGGGTACATGTGAACTATCCCCCTGGGACACCTGACTGCAGGGCTGCCCATATCAACCCTAGCACACCAGCCTGTTTAGACTGAGCTTCCCAGGCAGAGGACTAGGGCTGGGATGGCAGAGATGGAAGAAGGCACAGGAGGCTGAGAAGCTGACAGCAGTGTGTCAGTAACAAAGTCATTTTGGGACATCAGGAAACACCCTGTTTTACTGAGACTTGCCTGCCCCATATGAAGTCCCACCCTCACCTTCTCCTGTGTATACGTGTCCTCTCAGAAACCCTAAGTTCTGCCACCACTAACCATAGCTAGTGCTCCTATCATAGCTTGACGTGACAGTTAATGGACCATGGTTCCAAGCAGTACATTTTCACTTCCCTTCTGGGTCACTCTTGAGCATGTTTGGAGTTCTACAATGGGTATCTTACTTTCATGCCCACAGACTCTTTCCAGATGCCAGTGGACACAGCAGGGCCTCACCCTACAGTTTAGTCTCCCCAGGTTTAAACCAACTGGAAAAGATCCATTGCTCACTCTTGCAGTAGTAAGTGCTCTTTGTGGTAACAGGACACGTCACACAAGAAACAGTCTTTCATGGGTTGACAAGATCAGGGGGAAATGAAAAGGGAAGCCAGCTTGAATCAGGGGACCAGGCAACACACAGCTACAGCAGTGAAGTACAACTTAAAGAATGCAGCCAAAATGAGGGGTGTGCTAATTTCTAGCACTTAAAAAAGCCATTTTCTTATGGTAGTCAGTGTTGTGCCTGTCACTGGAACCAGGCTTACCTGCTTGGTCTTTGAATATTTTGGATATGACGACAGGGACACCATGCTCTGCTCCTCCCTAGAAGGCAGAGACATGAGAAGGAAACAGTTATCAGGACTGACACTGAAGGCTTTGGGGCCTGAAGGGCAGGGTGGCAAGAAAACAAGCTCATACCTTGATACTCAGGCCCAGGCCACCCACAGGTTGTCTGCGAAGTGTAACAGTTCTGTGCTTTAAAAAATGTTAGGGAAAAAATAAGTTTAGGTTACAATGCATTATCAGAGAATGAACAAGAGAATGCACATATAACTTCTTAATCAAAACTTGAGCAATTTTTAAAATAAAAACTTCCAGTTTGGCACTCTCCAACCTCTACAGTAGCTGTACCATAGCCAGCCCTCATCCAGTGGTCTGCTTACAGGTAAACAAGGAAGACTGCTGGTAAAATAAGGTCCTGTTGAAGGACTCATTAGAAATCTACACCAATTGCTACAGAGCTTGTTAGCTTGTTGCCTCACCCTCATATTGTTCTAACAACAGAGTCCCATTTGGACAATGCCCATGTCCATGATCCAGGTGGAGAAGTTGCCTCCTTTTAAACGTGTCCTCCTCCTGCCAGCCCCCAGAAGAGAAATCCTCAGCACACACCAGTGCAGTTTCCTGTGTTTAGTCCAACTGTGGGTCCCAGTATACATTTCAGAAGAACCAGACTTCTCATACCTCTGAACACCTATGGCTAGTAACATTTAAATCAACATGGTGATAAAAGCTAAACATACAATACACCTATCAATTGGCAATACTTAAAATCTTGTCTCTTACATATGAAATCATGGCCTTTCATTTTGCTTAGGTCTAAACTGACTGAAAAATTTTACACAGCTACATGTAGGCATGGGACAAATCATGCAGGAACCATGCTGGAAAGGACAGGAGAGATGGCTGGTATACACTAATAAATAGAGAAAGCATTTCTTTTCCTTCAAAAATACGATAGGAACCATAAACATCATACTTTAACTGAAAAGTAATAACATTCAGACTGAAAGGCTCCAAAACATCAATATTGGAAAAGCAGAGGCCAAGAAGTATGACAGGACACCTAGAACCCCTGCTTCATCTTGGGGATTGGGTACCAAAATAGTACAGAGAGAAAAAGCAGGCTGGTAGGAAAAGCTGCTGTGGCCCTTGACATGTGTGATGTCTTCCACAGACTGCCATATCAACCTGTAAATATACTCCTGGGAAGGAGTGTGTTGGTTATAAGATGTCTAAGTTCTAACTTGACGTGGTGGCACCTGTCTCTGCTTCTAAGAGAGCTTCCCAGAACAGCAGGACACAGAGGTATGAATCCATCACTCACCAACAAAGTTGCCTTAAATACATCATACACTCAAAATAAGAAACAAACAAACAAACAAAAAGAGCAAATAAACACATTTTTTCAGAATCCATGAGTGAATTGCTCACATAGTATTGTAACTGGAAACATTATATTTTGTGCATACATCATAGGTCTAAGTAATGAACCCTTTATAAGAGCACATACAAGGAAAAGGCTGCAATTTAGAGACATTTGTATAAGAACACTCATTTTCATTTTCCTCATCTAGGCCACATTCAAGTGCACCTGGTTCCCATGACAGACACGCTGTCAGGACTTATCTGAGGGGTTCATAGTGTGCAAGAGAGAGCAGCAGCACACAGTTTAAACCACATTCATCTTAGCATTGATTAAATAATCCAAGATCTCAATGCAAGCTAAGTATCTAAGGATGAACAGATTGAGTTTCTACAGTGGAATACCAATCATCCTTAAACGGGGGAAGTTACTCATCTGCAACAATATACATGAACTGCAGAGGATTATTAACATGTTAAAACAATTTGGGCAGAAGAAAAAATGGATGTGATCCCATGTACGTAGTAGGTGCCAGGATTACAAGTTGCAGATGTAGCAACATTGGGCAGAGGTGGTGTGAGATATATGATGGGTAATTTATATCTTGGTGTGTTAGCACATGTCTGAAATTCTAGTACCTAGAAGATATAAACAGGAGCATCAGGAGTTCATCTATTGGTTACCATGGGGAAGTTTGAAGCCAGCCCAGGACACAGGGAACTGTCTCAATAAAATACAAATAAAAGGGTTAAGTTCTGGAACTCTAATTACATGATGAAGATGACAGTTCTCAATATTGTACTGTATACTTGAAGTTTAACAGTACCACTGAGACCTTCACACACATGCACACAGTGTAAATGTGCAAGATAATGTATATGTACATAAATGAATTAGCTTAATTACAGCAATAATTTCTATATGTAAGTAAAATAATCATATATGTAAGTCAAGTAGTTACACTGTATAGCTAAATATATAAGATTTTAATTGTTACTTATGTCTTAATAAGTTTGATAAAATTAAATCTGCTTTAGGAACACAGCATCCACTACTGGGAAAGGAGCCTTAGTTAGGGTTTTTGTTATAATAAAACATTGGCTTCAAGTTCCAATATCACAATTCATCATCCAGGGAAGCCTGCGGAGGGACTGAAGGCAGGAACCTAGAGGCACAGATCTAAACATAAGTCTGAAGCTGTAACAAACTTTAGTCTGGAAGTTAAGAGTGAGGGTTTTAATGGGTAAAAAATTCCACAGGAACTTGAAGAATAATACTACAGGAAAGCTGCCTCTAGCACTTCAAAGCCACTTTTGTGCTGAATGAAAAAGATACATAAAGGGTAAGAATTAACTGTCAAAGGAGACAGCTGTCTTTACGTATTTATAGTCAGAAGGAAGTGTGGAGAGAGCCAAGTACAGTTGAAGTGAGGCTACTGCCAAGGTGTGAGTACCAGCTGATCCTTAGGGCTGAATCCTAGATGCAATCTCTCCTAAAAGTCATTTTTATAACACATTGTGGGAAGGACATGAAACAAACTTTGAGAATTCAATGAATTACCCTACGGAACACATTCACTTCCCAGAAGGAAAGTTTTATAGCATTTCATCACTAGTTTTGAATCTGTTTCTCTGATTAGTGAGTGAGGGCCTGTATTTGGAAATGGGAGATGTTCATTTGTATGGGAATGTGCACACTACACATTTCCAGGGTTTGATCGCATTACCCATCTAACTTCTTCTCTTTTATTTTCCTTTTTAAGATTTGAAACAAAGTTGTTTCACATATCAATTCCAGTTCCCTCACCCTCCCATCCTCCCCTATCGCCCCCACCAAACCCTAGCCCATAACCTTTCTGCTCCCCAGGGAGGGTGAGGCCCTCCATGTGGAGCCTTCAAAGTCTGTCATACCATTTGGGGCAGGGCCTAGGCCCTCCCTCACATCCAACTTCTTATCCAGCTCTCAATGCTAAGGCTTTGACTCTGATGGGTGGTTCTTGACACACAACAGATTCTGTCTTGTTATTTCTCTTGACCTCAATGATGAATTAGCCAGTGGCTTGATCTGTGCAACAAGAGCTCTCTTAATACTATATTCTATAAATGACTAGATCCACCAGACTTTGATGCATGAGCTATGTGAAGGACACTTCACTCCAAACCATACACTGCTTAAATCAAAGTCAATGCCTTGTTGTTGTTGTTGTTGTTCTGGCTTTTTAGATAAGACTCTTACTATGTGCCCCTGACAAGCTTTGAACTTGGTATGCTGCCCAGGCTGGCCTCAAACTCACAGAGATATATGACTGCCTCTGCCTCCCAAGTGCTGGGATTAAAGATATGTGATATCACTTTTTGTATTCAGTTATTCAGTTCCTAGTCAGAGGTGTCCATGCTAAGAAGTATACAAAGACAGGTGGAAATACTGGGCTGCCAGCCATGCCAAATTGAGGAGCTCTGGGCCCAGTAAGCAATCCTGTTTTGTGAAATAAGGAAAGAAATAGAATAGGACCAGATGTCAACCTCTGGCCTCTACTCATTCATACAAATGTCTATACCACATACATTACACATACATACATATGCCACACCTCTTCTATCCCCTTCTTCCTCACATGCTGTGCATGCATGCATGCACGTACACACACACACACACACACACACACACACACACACACACACAGACCATACGTCTCCCACTCCCACATACCAAGTTGTTAAAAAACAAACTTAGAGAAGGTATGAGATAGAACTACAAAACAAGTATTTAATTTTGTGATGTGACCAGCCCATACTTGGGGACAAATGAATCGCAGCATGCCAATTTCTCACAGAACCTTCCTGAGCAGTGATTTTTCAAAGTCTTTTCTGAAGCTCCTGGACTGGGATGGTTTGAGCCATACCAGGAAGCAAGAGCACTTACATTAGCACCAGGAGGGGCTCCCCCGATGCAGACGACATCTTGCTTTTGAATAGTCAGTGCCTCTTTTGTCAGCTTCAGCCGGACGTCATAGGCATTTTCCAACCCTTCATCATACAACAAGGCCAGAGCAGTTTTGGTCTGAGGATACAAAGTGGTGACAGGAACAAGTGAGTCCAGCCCTCAGCAATGAGAGATGATAGGTGCTTCCTTTCCTACCACCTTCTAACCTGAATATACATATTTCTCTTCATTCATGGTAGAAACTGATTGACTGACAGATATATCTTGGATATATGTCTCTGGAAATCTGGACTTTTCTTGTACCCTACATGCTGCTGGGGATTTTTCCAGACTTCCTGAGACATGCTTCCACATCTTCATACCAGATGCTGTGTAATCCTTGTCTCCATTTGCAGCAGACATTCAGGGTAGCAGGGCTACCTCACCAGCTCTAGATGGAAACTGCAGGAGACTGAGAGTCCCTTGAGGTCGACACCCAGAACAAAAGAACCTGTCTAGCAGCTGCAGTCCATGGCACAGGGACTGTCACCAAGAGAGTCACATCAGGAAACTGCCTGAGGAAAGGGATCATGATGTGGAGGACAAGCAGGGCTCTCAGTTGACATGGAAAGGTGAGGAACCAAATCATGTAATGTCAATATGATAAGCACAGTCACATGTGATATTAATTTACAACGAATTCATTGAGCCAAGTAGCTTGTGGCAGTGAGGAAAATCCCTGTACCCATAGACTCCAAGAATGGAAACAACTGGCATTCATTCAGAGGAGAGAACAATTGTGTAGGATGAAGGCCAAGAAGAGGATTCTGGCCAGTTAGCGAGTGACTATGATATTCTAATTACACATTTTGTGATGGTGAATCTCTGTGGCTAGCTTGGCTGGATGGAGAAGTGCCTAGGAGACTACTAAGTGGAGTTTTCCTGAGGGTATCTCTAGAAAGGACTAGACCAGACGATTTCTGAGATGATCAGTGGTTTACCCACTGATGGACCCAGAAGTCAGACTACTGGGAGGTGATGGAACTGTGGAAGGCAGGCCCTCATTGGGGGAAGTGGCTCCCGGAAGGAATGCAATTTAAAGGAGTTTCTTGCCCTGTCCGCTTACTTTTCTTCTCTGATTTCTGATACCAGTAGGTCACCCACAAGCTGCAGCCTCCAAGATACTAACTCACCCTGGCCTGAAGCAACAGCACTGCCATGGAGACATCTGTAATTGTGAGTCGATGTAATCCTCCTGCCTCGCAGTGTTTGCATGAACATTCTTACAGCTACTGGGGCTGAAGAGCACACATTTTAATACTTAATGTCATCTATTTAGGAGTTCACCAAGGATATCAAACAAACAGGACTCAATAAAGACCTGGCATGGGCCATCTTCTGCCTCCCTCTGCCATCTGAACCAGGTGACACCATCAAATTCAGCTCCTCAAAATGTTTAAAAAAGAAAAAGTCAGGAACAAAACCAATTTGGAGGTAATTAAGCTTTCTAAGTCAAAACTATAATTTTATTCTAATCACTTCCTCCTATGAAAACATTCACTGACACCCAACTATAATTAGCTTGCGAGACATAATTGTGTGTTTTGACATGAATATGATGCAACACCCAGGGGGTGTGTTGTGTGACCCTTATTGCACCTCTGTAGACACTGGCCACTATTCTCAGAAAACTCATCAGTGTGTTGCAGATACAAGGTGGTGAGGAGAATACAGGTGGCACCAAATCCAGGCAGAGTGGAGAAGGGACCAGCCTCCTTCCTACTAACTCCAACACAGTACTCTCTCTCACCTCTGTACCACGGCCCCAGCAACCAATGTCCTTTAACTGGATAACCAGGGACCTTGTCCTTCGTACAGTACTCCAAATTAAGTTATCTTAATCTGCTTCTTTAAAGTAAGCTTAGGTTTTCTCATTCATAGAGAAAATAAAAATAAAAACCTAATAAAAACAAACCCCTATCTCTTCTGTAGCTTTCCAATCTCTGGGGTGGGCGGTATCATTGCCCAGGGTTTATGTGGCCCTCTGACTGCCATGTCTGAATCCCCCACAATCCCCTTGAAGCATGCCCTATGTGGGAATACACCTAACTCTGTAGCCTTAGGACCCAGTATCGTCTCGAGCCTTCCTGGTGCCACCCATGCCCCCACCCGTACTCTTTATCACCACGACCAGGGAAGCCTGCTAAAAGTTGGTCCACATGGCCTCATTCTTCTGGAAAAACATGACGCAGGAGTTGCCACTTCACAAGTAAAGCTGCATTCTGCACTGCTTTGAGCTCTGGTACCTCTTTGCTCTCATCTCAGCCACTCTGTTACCCTGGAGGCAACCAACACTGCAGTCCTGTGCCCACCTGCTCTGTAGTCCCATACAGCTCCTCCTTCACTGCCTGAAAGGTCACCACTAAGGTATAAAGCCCTGACCCCATCTCATGCCCCCAGTTCCTGGTTCCCTTCTCTCCTCTGCTTCCTCTTGAGATCTGCAGCAGGTGAATTCCACGCTCTAGGAGGATCACATTACTTTGCTCAAGGCTGGGCTCAGTTTCTTGCAGCCAGTCAGTATTGTCTAGGACAGAGTAATGTTCACAATCTCAAAGCTAAGGATGTCATCAGATAGCATCTGAAACTCACAGAGAGTTCTCTGCTTTGCTTAACCTGCTGGATGGTTCCCCCAGTGTGTTTGAAAACTGCCTTGATTTATAATGTTCTTTTGTTCTGTTACCATAAAAAACATTAGCAAGCTGTTACCACATTGAGACATGGTATTTGTGGCAAGCAGAATACGTGTTCCTGGGCCATCATCACTCATATCTGGCTCTAAAATAAACAATCTCTCATTCCCCCTGAGGTGAGAGCTATGTTTTGTATCAACATAACATTCAGCTTACAATAAAGTGACAGTTTTGTTGCAGAGATAAATCTGCATGTCATTATTTCAGGGTTAAGGCATGCAGTCATTTATGAACACTGAATCAAGTTCAAATGTAGACATGCTGATTGTGAGATGCATAAACATCTCTCTGCCTCACTTCATAGCACATTCCTTACTATGAGGACATAACAGCTCTGATCACACTACTAAGCGTTTGACAGGATAAATGGTTTTTTCTACTTTATGTGTGTGGTATACATGTATGTGTGCATATTAGCATGTGTGTAGGCACACATATGTGTGAGTGTGGGTAGAGAGGACAGCTTTGGTTGCTGTTCCTCAGTTGTTTTGTCCCAGTTGTTTGTCTTTTTGAGACAGCATCACTCATTGGCTTGGCACTTACCAATTAGGGGAGAATGAACTATGATCCTCTATCACTCAAGTAAAAAGTTGGGCATAGTGGCATGTACTTGTAATCCCAGCACATAGGAGGGAGAGATAGGTGGCTTGCTAGAGCTTATTGGACAGCCAGACTAAACTACTTGGAGATCTGCAAGTTCCTGTCTAAAAAAAAAAAGCAACCCCCCCCTAAAAAAATGTGGAGGACATTATTTGAGGAATGACATCAGAGATTCACACACACACACACACACACACCCTGCACAATTTAACACATGTAAATAGTAAACAGAAGGAATATTCAAATAATGAGTAAAAAATAAAATGTATTTTAATGAACAATGTGTGTACAGTGTTAGCACTGACATAGTGATTAGCTGGTCATCAAATGAAGTTGTTTCTATTTAGTGTTATAATGGAAAACTCCAGGGTATAGTCTAAGATTGGCATATCATCATATCACATCACATCATATCATCATCAGTGTGCATGTGTATACTCACCTACATGCATTGGTACATGTGTGGAAATCAGAGGACAAGTTTGTTGAATGAGTTCGTTCCTTCTGCATTTACTTGGGTTTTCCACGGACCAAATTCAGGTCAGCAAGGTGGTATGTTAAGTGATTTTTACCCATTGAGTCACCTCACTGGTCCACCCAAAACAATTATAAGAGGTATTTTTATAGCAATAAGTCCCTATACTAAAAAGAAAAGGACAATATAAATTATGTTTCAAGGATATCAACAAGAACAAACTAAACTCAAAGCTTATATAAAGAATGAAGAACAGAACAAATTATAAAGTTCATCAGGAAAAAAAAATCAATAAATCTAAGAATCAAATTTAAGTTTCTTTTGAAAGTAAATGAGCCTCATCTAGACTGAGGAGAAAAGGAGGACTATTCAAATATTGAGTGAAAAGTACAAATAGTGATAAGTTGATGATGAATGGAAGTGGAGACATTTCACCAGATGCCACGAAAATAAAAATACAAGCAGGAGCTAAGAACAATCATACCAACAAGCTGGGGATCCTAAAGGAAGTGAACACATTTCTATACTAACTTATCTTATCTTGATTTAACTTGGAATAAGTAAATGGGAACCCCCAAACAAAACAATATAAGCAGAATGCTGACACGCTAATCAAAAGCTCCCAACAAAGTCCAAGAATAGATAGCTTCTCAGATAAGTTCTATCAAACTTTCAAAGATGAATTAATTTCAGCTTTCCCAAACTCTCAAAATAAAGGACTGAAGGGAATACTTCTAAATGTACTTTATGATGTTAGTCTCACCTCACAATGATGACTGACAAAGACACCACAAGAAAATTACACATTTTCTCAACATTGATACATGTCTTCCACAAAATATCAGCAAACTAAACTCAGTAATACATCAAAATAGTACATGTTATGGCCACGTAGGATTCATCCTGGCATACAAGGATGGTTTAACAGATATAAATTATTGCAATGCATCATACTAGCATAAAAATTAAAAGCCATATGACCATCTCAGTCAATATAGAGAAGGTATTTGCTAATTCAACATCCTTATGTGATTAAAAAAAAACATTAGTTTGGATACAGAAGGACATTTTCTCAACAATAGGAACATTATAAAAGCCTTCCACTAACATCATCAACCATGGGGAAACTAAATGTTTCATGCATCAGAGTTTATAGTGTGAATATAACACTTTCTGTAATAATTGGTGCTGGTAAAATGGGATTTCAATGTGCAAAAGAGAGAAACTGAACTTGTATATTTCATCATATATAAAAACCCAAAATACTTGTAAAATCCAGGCAAAAGCCATGAACCAGAAACCTTCTGGA